CGCCGACCGACTGAAACAACGCTTCTCTCGCGCATTCGGGTTCGGCCAATTTATTTTGCACGTTAGAGACCGAGGCTAATCACACCCCCGCAAGGGTCAATTATCGTTTACTGACTAAATGGCTACTTTACACACGAGCATGATAATTTATTTCAAGGCCAGAATTATCCGCAATACGTATAGACTGAAACTAGATATGGGCTCGTTTATAAAGATATTACACCGGCATCGCTGTTGCTTCTTCAAATTCAATAATAAGAAACAATAGTGTTCCTGACATTAATTGCTTGCTATGGGCTATGTATGCGTCACGAGTGTATGTTCACGAGTGTATGTTCACATCAAACAATATAGTAAAATAAGAAGTATAATGCAGCAATTTAACCATAAAAAGTGAACAGAATTACTTATAATTTGTGAAAAAGTGGAAATTTTTTTAAAATTTTTGTTATTTACGGTGACGTAATTACTTTAATGTCCGGATCATAATATCAAATCGTCCAGGGTTTTTGAATCTTTAATTAGTTGAAAAACAATCTTATCAGGTAAGAATTTGAGGATACATTTAGTCCCATTAGTACTTACTTTTCATGTAAAAAAATTGCAACAAAAATTTTACAATTATACACCATAGAAAATTCGTGACGTAGTCAATTTAACTTAATATAGTATAAGTGAGTAAGTCATTACCATGGCATTGCCATTGCCACCTGGCATTGTCACAATGTCAGATTGTCGTTGACTCATTCCAAGGACTGAATAAGTCATTGCCATTGGTATCCATATGGTTTATTTATATATAATGCCAAGTATATTTATACAAATTATAGAACTCCGGTAATGATAAATAATTATTACGTATGATAAATATGATTTCTATGTGTAGTAATTACTAGTATAATGCGTAAGCAGCGTATCATTGCCCCTTGTTTAAATCAATCTTCAATTTCAAATTGGTATCGTATTATTTATGCATCTGCGTCACTATAATCTCTGGTAGAGAAAGTTGCTCACAGTGTATACAAATTGTGGGTGAAATGTTCAATTATTATCGTTACAAAATCTAGCTTCCCCACTCTCTTCATGAACTCTTACTCAATATCTCAGTATCTAGAAAACACAATCTTGATCTATGTTAGAACACAATGTATTTGACTTCCTAAATTAAGCAAACAGGTATTTTGCAGGTCTGTAAGGTGTTCGACAGGAGCTGCCAGCGCATCCTCAATAATGGCTACAATAGAGCGGACAGACACCACGCCAAGTGCATGCGCAAAGTCAAGATGCAGTTGCCTCGCAGGGAGTCAGAACGTCGGAATCATCCTCTGTCGCGACACTGTGACATCCTTTCGGCGATCGAGACGCGACTGTCTCTGCTCGGCATGACTTTCATGAAATATGTTGAGATGAATCTTTGCTGCTTTATCCCCGGCAAGGTTGGTGTGGGAATGATGGTCGTGCAGCGGAGTATTCTTAACTATGCTTCAGTTTATTTTGGAATCAGTTCATCAAATTTCATGAACTTATACATGTAATTTGTTTTTAAGATAAATCCCTTTTATTTAACCTTTTATTAACAGTTTTGACAACTGGTCTAATTATCTTTGCAAAGCTGAATGAAGTTGCTTGAGTTTTGTCACCAGGTGGCAGCAGGTGACAAGAGCCAGAAATCGAATTATAGCTGGTTTTGGTAGTGGCCTTCATGCCTGGTTGGCTGCGATGCGTTTCTGTCAACGCTATTCTTGTAACGTTAAGATTAGTCGCAAGTGCTATCTTAGCATTAACGTAAGCCCCTTAACTTTACGATGTTTCTGACGACGGCCCACAGGTACTGGACGAGATATTTCGCGTGCTCGGCTACCTGGAAACGACGGAGAACCCGCCGAGAGCTCACGAGATTCTGCAGGAGCTCCGCGATATCTCGTCGATGGCGATGGAATACTTCGACGAACACGTCGTTCCTAGTTTGAAGCAGAAGATTCAGGAGGGCAAGGTTCCCCACTCCTTGAAGACGACGACGTCTGTCGTTGCTCTGCTGCCGCAGCGAGGAGGCGGGGAGATCTCTCTGCCGTGCACACGTGCGTTCCACTTTTCGCCGATAGCATAAGGGACGAGCTTCAATTTATTATTTCAAAATAAAAATATTTGAAAAATGTTGAAAGATTTCAAATTAAATATTCAGAGAGGATAAATGCTTTTAGTGCTCAGGCTATGCCAGTGCCCATGTGCATGTCTGTGCTAGGGTTAGAAACTGTTTGCTGCAAGAGAGAAAAAGGCAGGCAGCAAATTTACTCGCCCAGACACAATCTCTTGGTGCTTTTACCATGGTTTATTAGAAATTTGTTGGCAACGAGTATTTGTTACCGACGTTGAGAGCAGGCAGCAAACTAACCCTTCTAGGCAAGAAAACTACTGCCTGCTCCCCTTAACTTCAAAACCTGATGTTTGTGCTTGACACTTCTCATTTCCCCCACCTGCTTTTCACTGTCTCATTCTGTTATAAGATGTTTAAATCATAATACATATGTTTGTCTAATAATCCGCAGTCAGCTTGTTAGCTCATGATAACTTCATTTATAAAACCCGAGACTAACGCAGTAGCGTGTATGCTATTGCTGCAGTGATTTCCTGTTGCAGGTCGTAGTTTCTTCATCTTTACTTCAAGCACTGATGCACATGTCGTTTGTTGCGCACACATTTTTTTAGCATTTCAGAACGAAATCTAGATGCATTTTCTTACCTGTACTATATTCACGCAGATTTGTTGAAAAGTGTCGTATTTACGTGTGACATTGGTGTGTTTTCGTAGACGGACCATCAATGTCTGGAGTCGGTGTTTCAGTGAACGAGTCTTCCATAATCTTGCCAACGGCCAGGGTTCAGGCGTATCAGTCAACCATCAGGAAGCTGTCCGAGGAAGTGAAAGCGATGCACATGAAGATAACTGGGTGCAAGATTGAGACACAGAAACAACGAAACCAGTTCCAGGTAAACTACAATCTCACAGGCCTTGCATATTAATTGAATATTAGCTATTTGCTAAAGTTTGCTATCGAGGTCCATCTTCTTGGCATGAACGTTTAACCATGGATTTTCTTTAACAACGTATATTTATCTTGTGTGCAACACATAAAAATTTTTACTTAAAACCCAAGTAACTTGTACATAACCAGTTGAAGCCAGAGTTACGCGTAGTACGTGTGTTGTGCGCGGTTGTAAGTTTACGATGCCCATTGCTCACGGTTGCAAGCTTACGTTATCTTGTGTGCAACACATAGAGTTTTTAAACAGTCAAACATACTAACTAATTAAAACCAAAATTACTTCTACTAACCAATTGAAGCCCGAGTTACGTGTACTACGTTTAGAGTTACGCGTGGTTGCAAGTTTACATTGCGTACGGTTGCGAGTTTACCTTCTGCATTGCATGTGGTTGCAAGTTTTTGTTGTGCGATGCTCGCTGTTGCAAGTTTTCATTGTGCATTGCATGCAATTGCAAGTTTACGTTGCGTATGGTTGCAAACTTACTTGGCGTATGGCTGCAAGTTTATGTTGTGTACAGCTGCAAGTTTACGTTATCCGTTGCGCAGGCGAAGTTGAGAGAGTTCGAGCGGCGGCAGCAGCACCAGGAGCGGCTAGCCGGCGAGCAAGCGTGTAAGATCGCCGCGCAGGGTCGCAAGATGGACGAGATGAGTCGCAAGATGCTGGAATACGAGCAGAAGATCGGCGACGTCGCCGCACGATTCGTGCGCAGCGACGCCGGAAAGACGCCGCTCGAAACGGACGCCGTCGAGCCGGCCGTAGGGGCCCTAGGTGGCGCCACGTGCTCGTCGGCCGTCGTCGACTTGGACGTGTTCGCCCGCGATAGGTACGACTCTGGTTTCGTCGGCGAGGGAGTCGGCGAGGAAACGAAAGTCGATAGCGAGCCGAGACTGATCGAAGATGAGACGACTCTCGGAGACTCGGGAGAGCGCAGGAAAGTCTCGCCGCCCTCTCTGCCGAGAAGGCAAGAGGGGAGGATGATACGAAGGCGCATGCTAAGGCCGTATAAGAAGTTGGCAGGACTGAAGAGACGGACGCATTCGCAGCCGAAAGTTGGCGAAAGTTGCTCCGCTTCGTCGGAACGGCGTTGCGTACAACCTGGAAACCATGACGGATAACAAACTGCAGTACATGACGGCTGTGTGACGATGCAGAACGACACACCGCGTAACTGTGATACCATGCCTTGCCGCTTAGCTGTGTATAGTAACTGAATGTGTATATCCGACAAGTCGTAATGGTGCATTATTGTTAAAAAAATCATGACGTTATTGCTGACAATTTATGACCGTTTACATTCCTTAAATCGTAAAAGGAAACGCTTCGGCTGTAGTTGCGGTTCAAGGATAGAGATGATGTCCAGGACGGTGATAGCATAGGATGATGTTTATTACTGGACATGCTCTCTATCCTTGAGCCGTAGTTGCTTGAGGTAACGTTTCAATTGACCTCTGTCTGTGTTGACAGATTGGGCAATTTTGTGTGTTGATTGATCATGATTATGTAATAAAATATTCCAAATTACACGATATCATAACTAGAACTCATCTTGTTGTTTTGTGTAGAAAATAGTTTAATTCCACGTGGGACTTGCCAGGTAGGATTCTTGGTAACAACAAGTTCGAAGGGTCAGATAAGTGAATCTCTTCATCTCCTTTGTGCTTGTTCTGCATGACTACAACCATATACAATATACAAGTGTACATACCAATGTAAGGAAATAGAAAATGTGAGAGACTTTCAAAAACAAGTTATTTTCCATCAATCGAGAAAGCTACATGATACATTTTGTGCGTGAAATAACTGCACAGGCTCGTGTGGCATCTCTCTCTCTCTCCCCTAGCTCTCTCTCTCTCTCTATCTCTCTCTCTCTCTCTCTCTCTCTCTCCCCTAGCTCTCTCTCTCTCTCACTCTCCCCTAGCTCTCTCCCTAGCTCGCTTACTCGCTCTCTCTCCCTAGCTCTCTCTCTCTCTCTCTCTCTCTCTCTCTCTCTCTCTCTCTCACTCTCCGCCTCCCGGCCCCCTCCCTCTCTCTCCCTCCCTTCCTACCTCTCCCCCTCTCTCTCTCTGTATATATATAGTTATATACATATTGTGTTATATAAAGGTGGCGCGACCGTACAGTGTCAGAATTAACTTGTATGATACTGTATGTTCCGCTTCACTACACTAACCCGAGGCTGAGCCGAGGAAGAGCATACGAGGGGAGATAATCATTAACGTTATGTCAGAATGAGATTTCTGGCACTGTACGATGGCGGCACCTTTCGGAAATAAATAGTCAAACTTGTAATTCGTGTAACAATTAATGTGAGACATTTCAATAAATTTCTTTTATTACTCCGTATTATAGAGTGGAATATATTGTTAAATAATTTATTTCCTATATAGCGCACTTTGTTTCAAAAAGAAATATTTTGCTCTCACCTAAATCTTGGGATTATTGACAAGTCGCATCTGACATTCTTTTTTGGACAACAAGAGTAAAGATGGCGACGTTGGCAAGGTAGTTTTCCTGAATTCCTTAGTAATATGTGGTTTATACTAGTTTCCTATGTAGCAAATCATTCGGTATAGTAGTTAAGATATTTATCTATCAATGCGCATTGCTTACACTTAACATAAATCCGGCATACCCTTGTTTGTTCATGTTTGAACGTTTACAAAATTTGTAACAAACGACTTGCGCATTATTCATAGACTAATTATTCTATGTTGACGTAGTCCGAAGTTTCGCAATTCCTTGCCAATGATACTCACAGTCACAGCCATATACAGTGTTATGTGAGAAATTGAGATTTAGCTTTGAAAGAACAGAATATTACGCTTGTTAGAGGTCTAAAAGTCGTATAATATAATAGATCAGCGTGTCCTTTTTTTCACGGAGAAAAAAATCGAATAGTTACAGTAGGGGGAACACTGCATCTCTAAGACATTTCCTAGTCATTCATTATGTAACAAGTTAATCTATATTACAGTTTGTTACCAAAGCCTTCACAGTATGCATACGACAGAGATGAAGAGGAGAAGCAGATATCACAGCAGGTTAGTAGGAGTCGAAGTGGATGTGAGAGTTGTTACTCGTCAGATTCGAGCAATACGACGACACCGATAGCAATTGCTGAGGTCGCCTTCCTCACTTATCTTGCTGCCTTGAAAATTGGACAATGTACATGACAATAAATTACCATGGGCGCTCTAGCTGGTTTGGCGCTAGTTTAGAAGACATGACCCATTGTGTATTGTATTGTAGACAGGAAGTATTGTGGGACATGTCTTCTAGACCAGGGCCGCTAGTTTACCCCTGTGATTGGCAGGCACCTCTACCCAATCATTGTTGTGATAGGATGATCTGAAATATAATGCTTGGCAATGAATTACCACAAAGTTAGTTAACAGTTCAGCGTGCATAAAAAACGTATAAACTGGTCTGGCATGACAGACGTACCAACAATACCAAAGAGGGAATAGTTATCTTGCTCAAATAGTTAGGCCAATGAGAGGTGGAATTGTTTCTGTGTGCTGGTATTATTGGGGTAAATCACCTCGGTCAGATATATAAGTGAGTTGATGGAAAGGGTATTACACTAAATGTTCTTTGACACAAATGCAAATGAAAGTTTGATCATTCTTCTTTGTACTTGTTAGTATACAAGAGTTCCAAACCTATAACAGTCAGATTAGAAACTTTGTTGTTAATATTATTGGTATAGTGCTAATACCAGAGATGCCAACCACTACGATTTAGCCGTATTTTATGCGAATTTCGTTTGCATTTTGACCACTACGACCAGTTTGCATACAACTACGATTTTTATTACGATCGAAAAAAAATATATTTTATGATATTTCAAGTGTTTTGTTTCAGTGTTACATTGATATAACATGATTGAAAATAACTACATGTATTTAGCAGCAAATATCAGTTTGAACTTATTGTCATTTTGGGTCCCAGAATGCAGGAAATTGCATCTCGGAATCAAAAATTTTCCTGTGGGCATGCCCCGAACCCCTCTAGCATACTCGGGTCACTGCGTGCCCCTCGGACTACAGATTTCAGACGTCCTCACTACAGTTTGCTCAGAAAAGTGTTGGCATCTCTGTAATACTTATTATGTGGTCATTGTACTTAAAATGAAATGTGATTGAAATCGGACGCAGTTTTTGTGATGAATGTTATTTTCTTCAGAATGCGGCGAATATGAGTGTGGTGTCTTCCAAAAGGGAGCCTCCTCCATACCTGCACAGGAAAGGCTTTGTACCACGGGTTTCTGGGGTAAGGTGCATTTGTTGTTTCTGCGTATACAGTGTATAATTTACGTTATTACTCGTATGTAACGTTTTCGTTCGCGCTGTATTAATCACAACAGTACAATGAGCATAATTCGAATGCAGATGTGCAAAATCCATGCTATTTAAAGTTAAATATAAATAAATTTATTAATAATATGAAATAATATTTTTTAATTTAAAATTAATAGGGTAAAAGCTCATTTATTTCTTTGTTGGTGTCATGCAGGATTTTGGTGATGGCGGAGCGTGCCCTGAGGTTCACGTAGCCCAGTATCCTATGGATATGGGCCTTAAGAAGACGACTTCAAACTCATTGACACTGCAGTACGATGCACAGGGAAAGGTCAAATACGATGCCATCGCCAGGCAGGGTCACGAAAAAGACAAGGTACGCTTCTAGAAAGAGAATCGTTTTCGAAACATAGCCCCTGTATGATAATATATTGTTGTATTGGTAACATCATAAAGTGAATGCCGTACGAGGATTTTTCCTCGTTTATTTATGGTTTTGTATACGTCACAAAGTGGTGTAAGCAGAGTAGATTTTTTTCCCCAGACGTGCAGTTTTTTCTTTGGTAGTGCTACCTGTTATGTGTATAATTTGGTAAGCCATGTTATACGTGTAAAATGTGAGGAATTTGCTAATAATGCTTGTTCATCCCGAAATTGCTTCCAGGTAGTTCACTCCAAATTTCAAGACCTGGTTCCGGCCGAGATAACGAACGTTGAGGATCCCTCGCTGCAGAAACCAACAGAAGATGAAGTCGCAGACGTGAGTCGTTCTTTTCTCGTTGTTACGTCATCCGCTGCGATTGCTCGGTCGGGTCTGCCTCTCGAAGAAAGTTGCCATGCCCCTCAAAAAGTTGCTTGAGCGACGTGCGCGGGCGATTTACACTTTACATTTCATTTTGTGGTTGCCACTTTACCACTGGCAGTGCACACCCTCTTGATACTTCTTATAGTTTATTGGCATTGTGCTGCATAATGGTTACTCAGGTTAGACCACAATAGTCCAGCACTCTGTAGACAACTAGCGGTCGAGCTAAAAAAATAAAACTGGCAGTCTTCAGTTTGCGGATCCGCTGCCCTGTGGCGTTGTTTACCCGTGCGATCGTCATTCCCAGTGGTCTGTGTTTATTTCTGGCTATCGTTTACCCTTCGATACTATGAATGCACCATTCATGATCATCATACATGAATTCAATACTTAAATATACGGCACCAAAGCAATCAAATCGTGGTGAGGTTAGGCGTAATTCACCCAGCTTGAGTAGTTCGGGAATCTTTCGCTGACCCAGCGCCGCGAGTACGCCGGATTGCTTCTCTCCGAGCCGCAGCGTGTCTGACGGTTGCCGCGGTTACGCATTGCAGACGACGGAGAAGACGAGGCAGGCGCTCGAGAAGCTCGTGTCGAGCAAGATCGCTGCGGCGCTGCCCGTGAAGGCTGCCGACAAGCAGGTGCCGGCGCAGTACATCCGCTACACGCCGAGCCAGCAGGGCGTCGCCTTCAACTCCGGCGCGAAGCAGCGCGTCATACGCATGGTCGAGATGCAGTCGGATCCGATGGAGCCGCCCAGATTCAAGTATGATTGTAGATGTACTAGAATTATTGATAGTTGTAGACACTAGATTCAAGTATGCTTGTAGATACTAGAATTATTGATAGTTGTAGACACTAGATTTAAGTATGGTTATAGATACTAGAATTATATATAGTTGTAGACACTAGATTCAAGTATGCTTGTAGATACTAGAATTATTTATAGTTGTAGACACTAGATTCAAGTATGGTTATAGATACTGAATTATATATAGTTGCAGACACTAGATACAAGTATGGTTATAGGCTATAGGCTCTATATTCAAGTATAGTTATTGGCTCTAGAATTGTTATATAGTTGTATGCTTCAGATTTAAGTATTGTTATAGGCTCTATATTCAAGTGTAGTTATAAGCTCTACGTCTAGATTCAAAATAGTTATGATCACTAGATTAAAGAATAGTTATACTCACTAAATTGAAGTATAGTTAGGGATTAATGATAGGAATAGTAAGGATCTAGATTTAATTATAATTCTAGGCTCCAATTATAGTGATATATCGGCATTCTAAATCACAGCTCGATTCTGACCAAGATCAATTACTGTTCAAGCTTTAGAAGCTCATTGAATTCTAGGTTACAAGCTTTTTTTGTCAAGCTCATTTAACAGATAGTCGACTTGGGTTTTACTCGACAGTTCATGTAGAAAAATCATTATTTACTGGCTACGTTCTAGAACTAACAAGAAGATACCACGCGGACCACCGTCTCCACCGGCTCCTGTCATGCACTCGCCTAATAGAAAGGTTGGTTTCTACGAGCATGTATAATGGGTTTTTCACGGGCTTAGTAAAGTTCAGTTAGTGATCGGACAACAGGCATATCTAACGTGTTCCGTTCCTTGCGAGAAGTGAATACCAGAATGAAATTACGTCGTGTGTCTACACAACACAAACATCGCAGGATTTCTATAATTAGTTTTTTTTTCCATGTTTATTTTTCAAGGTTACAGTGAAGGAGCAGCAGGAATGGAAAGTCCCTCCCTGCATTTCTAACTGGAAGAATGCAAAGGTGAGTGCTGTAGTACATTTCTCATGCAGTAGTCCATCTTAGTACAAGAATGGAATGAGATTGTGAGGCAGTTTCCACGTAACAGGTTACTTTATAGTTACTAAACAGAACTGCATCATTAAAAGCGTAGTACTGCATTCTAGTCAGCACTGTGTAGCGTAAATAGTATTTGCTGTTATTTGTTATTACATTATTGTAAACTAGAGTAAAAAGACTAAGCCACGCATGCTATCATTTAGGGCTACACAATTCCACTGGACAAAAGGTTAGCAGCAGATGGCAGAGGCTTACAGACTGTGCATATCAACGAAAACTTTGCCAAGCTGGCAGAGGCTCTTTACATAGCTGATAGAAAGGTAAGCTGTACTAATGCACCAGTGGTCACTCGTGCTGCTCGAAGTTCGATGAAAGCCGAACGTTCGTTATACGCGATTATGTGGTGCTTTCATCGGCATTTTTGATACTGCTGCTTATAATGACATCTGACATCTTCACACATGTCCTATAATGACATCTGAGCTGTTTTATTGCTTTCGTCTAGTATTTATATATTCTTGGAAGTATGACGAATAACTGATAATAGGTTATAATGTTCTAACACCTCTCCACTGTGCCATCTTGTAGGCTCGCGAGGCTCTGGAGATGAGAGCACAGTTGGAAAGGAAGCTAGCACAGAAGGAGAAGGAGAAGAAGGAGGAAGGCTTGCGAGCATTGGCGCAGAAGGCCAGAGAAGAAAGAGCCGGAATCAGGCATGAAAAACGAGGAGGTATGCGGTTAAAAATTTGGCACCCTGGGGAAGAGACTGTGGATTTTTGAAATGAGCGAAGTGTGGTGTTGTCCTTGTCAGAGCATACCATAGTGTTGCTCCTGTATGTCACAGGCCAGTTCGATTTCTAGGTGATGCTCTACCATACATTACAGCATACCATAGCATTGATACTATATGTCAAAGGCATGTCAATGTTCAAATGTGCAATTAACATTGCCGGTGAAGCTGGCATTCCAGGCAATGCTTCGCTATCGACATTGATCGATCATATTTTTGATATTGGATGCTTTTGTTTTTTCAGACAAGGATGATGAGGTGAGAGAGAGAGATGAGATGAGACAGGAGCGGCACAAGGACAGACAGCGTGATCGCAACCTGGCTCGAGCCGCGCCCGATAGAAGGTTAGTTGTCAGCCGTGGGGCTTGTTGCTGGGTGCCAATCACAACGTGTCGTCATGGTGATTGTTATACCCATCTCATACTGATGCAATAATCATCTATAATTCACATCATTTCATCAATTCATCATCTATAATCTATAATATCAATAGTTATCAATAATCATCAATAATGATAATATGACCTTCTCGGCGACGTCATAACAAGTGTTGCATGCAAGTTATATTAATCGTATTTAAATATAGTGCAAAATTAAGAACTGCTTCTGATAATATGCTTGTCTTGTCGAGTTAATGTTATCGAGTTTTATTAGAGGTTTGCTGTTATTCTGAGAAGGGCTTCATTTATCTTGTACTGTGCTTAATCTCTATTGGAAATTCGGCTCTACCTGCTTAGTGGGGTGCAGTGAGAACAAGAGGAAAAAATTGTGTAAACTTGGTTAGCTCCCTGCATTGTTTGCTCAGTGGCAGTCTTTTCTATTTCAGATCGAAGGTGGAGAGGCAGCGAGAACGAGACGTCAGTGAGAAGATCGCCCTTGGCTTGCCGAACGCTGGAACGAGCGCCGGCGAAACACAGTTCGACCAGAGACTCTTCAACCAGTCCAAGGTACGTGTGCCAAAATATAAAAAATACAAAAAACAGTGCAGAGTACGTAGGCTCCGGCTACTGCTTCTGCTACCGTTGTGGATGCTGCTGCTGCAACTGCTGCTGCTGCTGCTACTACAACTGCTGCTGCTGCTGCTGCTGCTATGCTCGTCAGTAATAGACGAACATCCTGCATACAGTAAACACTCGATTATCCGATAGCATTAGGGAAAGGGAGTTGGAAGGAAAATCATGTTAGGTCAAGAGAACATATTCTAGACTGGGAAAAAAGTTAACATGTTCTACCGGGTTTTGTTAATACAGTTATAAGAGCCAATGTGATATTAGTGTGCCGAAAACATCACTTTACTTCCAATTATTTTGAAACTGTGTTCTAAGATTATCTAAGCACACTTTATATGCACATCACTGTTTACTGTACCTCTTCTGGTACTGCTATTATTATATTGGATAATCAGTGCTGTTAAGTAGAGTCAGGTGATTGAGTTTTATCACATAACATTGATTAAACCTTGCTGCTTCATACTTCGTTATTTTATGTATTACATCACATATGTATTTGTAACCATTTTATTGATATGCTGGATTTGTTTAGTCATATCCCGTCTCACGTCTAACTCTTGCTGTTGCAGGGAATGGACAGTGGTTTCGGTGACGATGAGGGCTACAATGTATATGACAAGGCTTGGAGAACAACTGAGGGAATGGCTGGTGCACTATACAGACCAACAAAAAACGTTGACAAGGACATATATGGAGATGACCTTGACAAGCTCATTAAGACCAGCCGGTATGATGTCTCTCTCACTTGTTGTGGTTGATGTTGTTGTGTGATGTTGCTGCTACTTGTTGTTGTTGATGTTGTTGTATGATGTTGATGCTGTGGCTGTAGTTTTGCACTGCCTTACGGTGTGCATTTTGCATTGTAATCTTCTAAGAAAACACAATATATTTACCGAAGAAAGACATCCAAATGTAACTTGCTGATCTAGTGGCCCCCTTTTTCTATTCTCTAACGAATCCTATTTAGACTGAACACCTCATCTGATGTATTACAAAGTGCTTGCGTGGTTTATGTCAGCACGGAATGGTTGCTAGATGTGTTCCACTTGTGTGTCATCGCTAGGTTTGTACCGGACAAGGAGTTTGCGGGCACTGACCGCACGGGGCGACGCGAGGGCCCCGTCCAGTTCGAGCGTCAGGAGGAAGAGGATCCTTTCGGCCTGAACAAGTTCTTGACGGAGGCTAAGAAGGCCAGCAAGCGGCCGGGCGAGGGCGATGACCGGTCACGCGATCACAGCAAACGGAGGCGCGAGTGAAACGGTGGGCCACTCGCGTGAATTTACCGGAGATTTTTTTTCTACCGCCGATTAGAATTCGGACACCGTTGTCCGATTTGTAGTACTTTGTCAGCGTTACAATAATGTTGAACAGTTGAAGTTGGCAACGAGAGACGGAGTGAGAGAGAAAGAGAGAGAGAGAGCGTGAGAAAGAAGGGATGAGAGAGAGAGAGAGAGAGAGAGAGAGAGAGAGAGAGAGAGAGAGAGAGAGAGAGAGAGAGAGAGCGTGAGAAAGAAGGCGTGAGAGAGAGAGAGAGAGACGGGGGGAGGGGGAGAGAGAGCGAGAAAGAGGGGGAGGAAGGGATAGAGAGAGAGGCAGGAACAGAATAGCTCAGTACGTCTGATAGCATGATTTTGATGAAGTTAATTTGTTTTAAAGAAAACAGGATAAAGTACATCTCCGAATAAGTATGCTCGCGTAACACTCGCCCTAACCTGATGAATTCATCCTCTATGAAAGGTGATAACTAAAAGGTTTTCTACATAAAGAGAATGCATCTTCTCTGATCTGTAGTAAATGCAGTGGCACCTCTTGTAGGACAATAATTTTAAGCCACATTGAAAAATCTACAACCCTGTCAGAAAGAGAAAAGATCTTTTGCTATATTATAGACATATTTCTGTTATGTGTGGAATGTAGCATATTATCTACAAATCTTTATAACTTTTAAAATACGTATGAAATGCATATGCTGTTTACATTGTGTTATTTCATAGGTATGATGTGCAAATTTATAAATTGACTTGTCCATTCGTGCATATTAACAAATTTAAATGGCAATTCAAATGGCGTTAGCATCAATCGATAGATCTTAAAATAGAAACCTAATCAACTTCAGTGTGTAGTATAGTAATCAACTATAGTATGCATTATTTAATTATACACGTTTGGAAATTATTTTATTGCAGTGCACTTTTCGGTCTCTGCTGTGTATCTAAATTGCTTGTGCAGGTTGAATTTAGGGCGATGACAACTAGTAATCATCCACATAGTGGTTAGGAATAGTAACAATATATTTGTGATTATGCTATGTATAAACTGGATAGAAGTTCAAATAAATGTTCATTGTAGTTAGTTTGGTGTCTTCTAGGTTCATGTTTGGCAGATTTGTAATGCGTGTGTAGCTAATATAGACCAACAATTAGCATTGGGCAGATACAATCCAAGTGCACCTTCTATATTAACATGCAGTTTACTTTAAGCAA